CACTCAGAAAAATGAAATTATATCCCATCTATGTATATCAAAGTGCATAAATGTATTCTACTGTCATGTATAACTAATTAAAACAAATTTAAATTTTTTAAAAAAAGAGGTAAGTTTTGGAAACACAAGTTCCTTCACCAGGACCTCTGAGCAGTGTTCTCTCTACCTAACCCATGCCATGCAAAGTGGGCTAGATTCCAAACCCAAACAGAATTTTCTAAACCTAAAGTAGACAATGGGATTTTTTATTGAATGCTTAGAGGAAAAGAGATGATAGTTTACTCGGTTTTTTTGTTTTGTTTTGTTTACCAGGAATTGAACCCAGAGGTGCTTAACCACTGAGCAACAACATCCCCAGCCTTTTTTTTATATTTTATTTAGAAACAGGATCTCACTGAGTTGCTTAGGACCTCGCTAAGTTGCTGAGGCTGGCTTTGAACTCACGAACCTTCTGCTTCAGCCTCCTGAGCCACTGAGATTACAGGCGTGCACCACTTTGCCCAGCGATAATTTACTCTTGACCAAATTCTGGTTCCTGTCCTCAGCAATTAGACTAACATTTGCATTTTTACCACCAGCCCATTTAGGGAAACTGGAATAGCTTTTTCTGTTTCTAGCTGAGCATCTCTGAAATAACCCTAATGGTGATCTTGAAGTTCTGTCTATATAATGCCAAAGCAACAGGCAGCTCAGGTCAAAACTAATAAATAAATATTATATTAAAATAAGTTTGGAGAACATGTTGGCCACTTTACACATCACTTTGTCTGGTCCCTGTTGGGAAGGAGCGAGGCGAGACGGGTTCTTCAGGCTCCTCTACTATCTCACCTGGGTTATTCTTCAAAGCACTTAATCTTTTAAATGGTAGTATATTTATTTATCTATTTTTAAATGTTTCCCCACCTAGAATATAAGCCCTCTTGACAGGGAATGTGTCTGTATTTTTTAGGGAAATACCTCTAGGACCTAAAACCTGATAAATGCTCAGGAATACCTATCATATGAAGGAGAGAAGCAGCGTTGTATGTTCTAAATAATGTTGATGTTATCATTTGGATCTGGAGTGTTCCCTAGAAGCTCATGCATTATGTGTTTAGCCCCCAGTGCAGCAATGTTCAGAGGTGGGGCTTTCGGAAAGTGACTAGGATCATGAGGGCTCTGATCTCATCAGTAGATTTACCCACTGATAGGTTCATAATTAAGTGGATTTGGGGGAGGAGCTGGAAATTCCTAGGAGTGAGGCCTCACTGGAGGAAGTAGGTAGGTCACTGGGAGTGTGTCCTGGAGGGATATATCTTGTCCCCTCCTCCTTCCTCTCAGACTTGCTCTCTCTCTCTCTCTCTGCTTCCTGGCTGCCTGAGGTGAGTTCTGCTCCACCATGCCCTCTCTGCTAATGATCTGCTCACCCCAAGCCCCCAGTGATGAGGTCAAGCAACTCTGAACTGAAATCTCTGAAACTGTGAACCAAAATAAATCTTTCCTACTTTAAATTGTTTTTCTCTGGTATCTTGTCACAGAGATAAAAAGCTGACTAACACAGCTGATGATATATTTTGACTGAAAAAAAAAAAAGTGCAAATATATCTGATGAAATATCACTCTTATCAAAGTGATAGGAGAAATTTTGGATACAGGGCTCAGAAATAAAATGAAGAAGAGATTCAGTTGTTATTTTTTCATATTTCTGTAGTTCAAATTGAAAAACATCGAGATACCATATCACTAGTACTAAATCCTCAAAGACCCAAAATTTTGTAAGAGGTTGTGTTGGGGAGAACCTGAAGAAAGAAGCACTCTCAAACATTGCAAGTGTATATGTTGCCATGACTACCACAGATGAAAATTCATCAACATACATAAGTCAACAAACATATGTACCCTTGGGATTCGGCTTCTGTGGAATTTATCCTACACATACAATAACAAACATGTGAAATGACAGATGTATAAAAGTATTTGTGGCTGCATTGCTTATAATGGCAAAGTATTGGAAACACTCAAAACGGCCTCCACTAGAGGACCAGCTAAATAAACGATAATTCCCATGATGCAATGGAAAACTTCACAGCTGTGAAAATGAATGAGGAGACTCTTTGTATATTCATAAGAAAATGTTTCCAAGATAAATACTTGAGTGAAGAAAAAAGTATGAAGACTGTACAGTATGCTATAATTTTTAAAATGGTGAGAGAGCATGTCTTTGAATTGTTTGTATATGCATGAAATATTCCTGGAAGCTCACAAGGAATTAATTTAAACGTTGCCGGTGGATAGAGTGTAGATAGAGAAAAGATGGATAAGGGAGAGGGGGAGACTTTTCATGTCATTCCCTGTTTAGTTTTTAATTTAGAAATCATGAGGATGAATAATCTATTTGTATAAATTACTTAAAAATACTTTTAAAACAAAATGAGCTGTTTTAACAGGTGTGGAGCCTATGAAAGATTATTTTGGGAGGTTGTGTTAGTTATGTTTTTCTTATGGTTAAAAAAAATTGTTGAGATAGTCAACTTATAAGATAAAAGGTTGATGTCAGCTCACAGTTTTGGAGGTTCCCTGACCTATGCTTTGGGGCCTATGGTGAGGCAGCACATTATGGTTTGTAGCTCATGGTTTCTGCCAGAAAACAGAGAAGAGACCAGTGTCCTGCAATGTCTTCTGAGGGTGCTCCCCAAATAACCCAAGACCTCCCATTAGGACCCTCTCTTGAAGGTTCCACCACTTCCCACTGGCACCAAGCTGAGGGCTAAGACTTCAACTTCTGGACTTAAGGGTCACTCAACCTCCAAACTACAGCAGAGATTGAAACAGAAGATGATGCTGGTACTAGATGCAGCTCTGACCTTGACATCAATGCTGGTGTTAATGTTGGGTTAAGTTGTTCCCTTCCCTAGGCCTCATTCCCATCTGTAGGACAATAGGGTGAACTAGGGGACTTTTTAAATGACCCTTGCTGCACTGACCTTCTGAAATCTACCTGATGGCCAGGATTGACTTAATTTGAATTAAATCATGTGTTCTATGGAATATGTCACTTTATTATTATTTTTTTTATAATTTTGTAATTATAATTATTTTCTTTATTCTTTGTTTCATGTGGTGTGGTGTGTGTGTGTGTGTGTGTGTGTGTGTGTGTGTGTGTGTGTGACACTTACCCTATTTCTTTAGGATTTTCTTCTTTGTCTCTGCTGAAGAAAAACCTGGGTCATGAAGATGGCTGTGGCCTTGGAGTGTGGTGGAGGACCTTGAGTGGGTGGAGATACTCACAAGGAGTGTAGGAGCAAGAGGGGCCAAGGAACAAATTCAGAGTGGATGAGCATCCTCTCAGGTGCATGCTGAACTCCTGAACTCAGCCACCCACATGGATGTTCCAGGAAACCCAATGCAGCACCGTTCTTCACTCAGGAACATACCTGGATGCTGAATTGCTCTGAGTCATCCAGTTTTCAATGAGGGTGACAGCGTTGGTGTCATCTGTGGAAGTGAACATTCCCTTCCAGTAGCGAAATCCTCATTTCCTACTCAGAGGTGTCCCGCCCTCAGCACCAGGCCTGTCACTGTGCTCCGCTCACATCTTTCTCCAGAATTGGGATGTTTTTATTCATTGTTTCTTTAAACACACTTTCTGACATTCTTTCCTCCCCTTTTTTCTGAAATGTGTAATGTGCAAATGCCAGTTATCATGATGAAGGCCCAGAGATCCCATAAGCTTTCTTCATTCTTGTTCTTTTATTTCTCTTCCTCCTCAGAAATTTTCCTTGATATTATTTCAAATGTTCTCCTCAAACTCACTGATTTTTCTGCTTGATTGAGTCACTACTGAAACTTTCTATTGAATTTCTTGTTTTATTTATTAGGCCCCTTAAATCATAAATGTATATTATTAATGTTTTATCCACTAAAAGTGGTTTAATTTTTAAAAAAAAAAAAGAGCCTGAATACAAATGCCAACTCCAGTTGACTAATAGTAACTGCCTGAATTACTATATTGAGCAGAAACCCAGGGCCTTCCTGGGCTCCCAACTCATGAGCCACTTAGGTCATCAGACAGAAGAGCTTTGAAAACAGCACATCCCCTGACTAAGATGAAACCCTGGCTTGGGCCTCTACCTCACTCAGAACTGGGCTGCACTTCCCATTTTCCAAGGCTTGCTCTTTCAGGTTGGGATATGGGAAGGAATTTGTCAGCATATATCCCAGAAGGGCAAACGTTCATATTAGCTTAGAAGTTTAGTGGGTGTTACAACCCTCAAAAATCTGTGCTTGCTATTGCAATTCTTTTCCCAATACTACCTCAAAGAACTTACAGTCTAAAGGAAAAATCTGCTTCCTGTGTGACCTCAAAGGCTCTATGCTCCTTTCACCTCTCTGACCTCAGATTGCAATCTGTAAATATTAAAAGTGAGTGCTGGGGGTGAAAGCACAATGGATTGCAAAGGTACTATTTTAAAAGTTTGCAAAACAAAATGTAGGGACTACTAGGCATTCAAGCAGTAGAAGTTTACTGTTGGTTATCTCCAACCTGGTTTTCATGGTTCCCCCAACCTGGACTAGTTGATCTGGTTAAGTAAGATTCTTCTTAATAAAACTGTTATTGGTTCTTACCCTTCTTGACATTCTAAAGAGGAAATCCACTCATTTAAAACCAAAATGCACACAAATAGTTGTTCTTTTTGGAGGGAATTGGGTTATGAAGTTATAATTCATGTACATTACAAATTGTCCTTTTCGTTCTCACAGTTCTGAGTTTTGACCAATGTATTCAGTTTCATCAGCCAAAGCCACAGTCAAGATGTACCCATCACTTCAAACAGTTCCCTCAAGTCCCTTTTTCATCGATTTGCCCCCTGACTCCCAGCACCCATCAGTCATAGATTTGTTTTCTGAACCTATAATTTTCCAAAAAGTTATTTTAGTGAAATCATCCTATGTGTAGTTTTTCAAAGAGTCAGACTCCTTTCAGGAGCATAATACAGTGGAGATTCACCCACACTCAAGAATTTACTTATTGAAAGTTTATTTCTTTTTATTGCTGAATAGTGTTCCATTGTACAGATACACCAGTTTGTTTACTCACAAGCTGAAGGACATTGGGGTTTCCAGTTTGGGGCAACTATGAAGAAAATACCTGTAAACATCTGTATTCGGGTTTTGTGTACAGATTTGCATTTCTCTTGTATATATAAATACCTAGGAATTCAATATGTAAGCATATGTTCATATGAAACTGCCAAAACATTTTCCAAAGTGGCTCTTCCATTTTGCAATGAGGAAACGTGGCTACCTTCATTTCTAAGTGGCTGAAGCGTCATTTTACATATATTTAGTTACATTGTCCTGTCTTCATCAAGGCTCAAGAAGTTTCATATTTTTAGTTGGGACAAAATAACCTACAAATACACTCACTTTTTTGACAACTTCAGGATGGTCTTTGAAGATGAGACAAATGTAGAACGTTGGTGTTTGGAAGGAAATTAGAGGTCACTAGCTCAACATCTTTGAATGGGACTGTTTTAATCCAATCATAAGTAACTGTCACTTGCTAAGAGCCTGATGAATAGACCCTGTGTTCACTGCCTCTGTGAAACTGGGCATGTTACTTGAATTCTATAAACTTCAGTTTCTCCAACTCTTCAGGGTTTTGGTGAAGATTAAAAGAAAAATGTATGAAAAAGAGCCATAGGAATCAGAACACAATTAAACCTTAAGTGTTAATAAGAGAGATACTATACTGATTTTAGCTTTCTATGGGCAACCTCACCAAGCATTGGTCTTCTTGAGACCTGAAAACACAAGCAAGTCATATAATCAGTGTAAATGTTAGAACAACCCAAAGGATTTGGAGACTTTCCATCAAGTCTTAGGGATAAACTTAGTGATGAAACCAAGGACTTAAAGGGCCAAAATCATATAGTTATTCATTGCAAAGCTGGTTAGAGAGAGAATTCTGAGCATCTACCCACTTATCTTTTATGCTGTACAACCTTCTTCTAAAGGCTGCTTTGAACACCAATCAAATACAACCAGTTTATTATTTTATCTATCATTTCATTTTATTTGGGGACAGGGTCTCTGCTAAGTTGCTGAGACTGGCCTTGAACTTGGAATCCTCCAGCCTCCAAAGTAGCTTGGATCACGTGTATCACCACCAACTTTTAAATAATTGTAGTAGGCCAGCCCCCACCATAGTGGAGGGACCACCCAACTAGAGCAATCCCAGTGGCTCCTTGTCACATCTTCCTGGCTGGCTTTCGACCTTGCGCAACTTCTCACCCTCACTCTGATCTGCTGGAAGCAGTCTCTTTGCTCTGCTGGAAGCAAAACTCTTCGGCGGGTAGCAGCCTCTATTATCTACAATGCCTGCCACATAGTAAGCCCTTAATGCATGTTTTTCAAATGATGATTAGAAAAAAAGGACTTTAATCAAATTATTCACACTCAACTGTTTTGATTAAATGACAGATACCTTCTTTGATAAATTTTTAAGCCACTTGTTTCGGTAACTTGTAGGCATTGCAGACCAAATCAGAGCATGAGAATTGTTCTGGAAACTAAATGTGAGAACCTAAATCCCATCACCATGCTGTAATCTCCAGTCCTGTTCTGTCTTGCTCCTCTTAGGGACACATTGTATAAAAGGCATCAAGTGTCAACTTGTTAAATCGGTTACACCCAAAAATGTTAAGATTATTTAACAATGCCATAATATGAGGTCATATCAGGAATTTCAAGGAGAGGCAAAGTTTTCAAAGATTCCAGTTCAATGCCAGGGAGCTATTGTTTCTGAAATGATGTTTGGAAAATTAAAAATTAACTCAGTACCTAATCTCTTTCATGGTTTTCATTGGGCTTAATTCTCTAATTTGAAATTCTTTATTTTAGATCCATTCCATAGTTATCCTATTAGAAGAAATATATTAAAACAACTCTCTAAATTTAATTTAAAGTTTATCCACTATAACCCATCTGGGTGTGGGGAGCCCATGTTAAACAGCCATCTTTGTTCTAGACAGAGATTGTCTCCATTTGCCACCATTGGCAATGTTCCAGAATATTCTCATGGGATTCTAATATCTAGAAGGACAAGGACTTCAGGAATTTTGTCCAGTTTATTTCTAGAGACTGAGCCAATGTCAGGCATATAGAAGGAATCTAATAAGTATTTTCTGAATGCATAAATAAATTTGGAGAGGGGAGGAGTGGAAGGCTTCCATGACACTCATGGAAAGATCAGACTGGGTTTCCAGCTAATGGCCCTATCCCAGGACAGAGCTGTTTGGTCTTATATCCATAGTCTCAGGTATAGTCATGGAACCCCTCTAAATGTGGCTGGATTGGCTTGAGTGGTATCTTTCGAGAACCTATCTGTTTCCAAATACTGGAATAAATAACTGCCAGGAACTACTACAAAAACAAGGAGAAACCTTATAATGAGGGAGGCAGAGTGGTTCCATGAGGATCATCAGATTAAGACAGAACAAAGTTCTGGTCACTCCCACACAATGCAGCTAGTATAGGATGCTCATCAAGTCACGCACTCACCTGAGGCCATATCCAAAAAACGCAAGTTCTTTAGATCATGGATTTTCTCCTCTAAAAAAACTCCACTCTGTGGCTCAGGTGTAAGCTTATTACAATGAATGCACCCAAAAGGGAGCCCACTCAAAGGTGAACCTTTCTCCACTTTGGCCACTCCTACGGATGCCCACATGGGGGTACTGAGATTACTGTTGCACCTACTTCTGGACAGAACAGAGTTGTGCCTGCTCACTTGGACACACAGAAGGTGACTTGCCTAATGGCTTTCCTGAATTTCTTAGGTACAAGGTTGGTTTCCTGCCCCACCCTACTCTCTCTCTGGGGTGATGGGGACCAAACCCATAGTCCTACACATGCTAGGTAAGTGTTCTACCACTGGGCTACACCCCCAGACCCTAAGGCTGATTCCTTTTGCCTCACAAATCCTGTGTATACATGTTATGAGTTGCATGGTAGAAAGTCCAAGGGAACCGGCTGCATTTTATGAAGAACAGGAGATGAAGCATCCTTACTCCTTTTTCCATGGAAATGAAAATAATTTTCAAAAATCCTACTCCAAATGAGAGCATTTTCTCATCTAACTATATCAAAGATACACCCCAGTACTCCCAGTATCTATCACATTGAACAGTCTCCTCCTGCAGAAAATCTGGACTTCTTGTGTGACAAATGGAACAAAGCAGCAGTGACACTGTGGGACTTCTCAGGCTAGGTCTAAGGAAGTCTTCCAATTCCTATTTTTGTCTCCTGAAGTGCTAGTTCTTAGCATGTTCTATCTTAGAACTTGGTCACCATGCTTCTTCTCTCTTAGAAACCCAAACCAAAAGAGGAGCACCATGCCTTAGTGCTCCAATAGCTAAACCCCAGCTCCAGCTAAGCTCTTAGTCAACAGCTGGCATAAACTATCAGCCCTGCGAGGAGCCATCTTGGATGTCCAACCCAATGGGACCTTCAGATTGTTCCAGCTCCAACCACCATTGGACTGAAACCACATGAAATCCTAAGCAAGTACTGTGCAGAGGAGCCCAACAAGCACCATAGGTCAAGAGACCACAGGTATTGTTTTAGGTCAAAAGTTCCAGGGTGGTTGATTATGCAGCCATGAACAAGTAGAACTCTGCCTCAACTTCCTTTACAAGCATTCATGATCCTGAGCTGCTCTCTAAGTCATCTACACTCACATATTTGCAAGATTTTGCCCTTTCTTAGCAGATGTTCACAAATAGCATGTTTTATTTAAAATATCTCAAAATTAAAATTTGAAGTTATGATTTTTTTCCTATTGAATTTGGAAATGTTTCGAATGAACTTGAGTTTTTAAAACTAATTGGCTCCAATTATATGTCTATGATTGGAGTCTATAGCTCTTGTGAACATGTGTTTTTAAATTATCCCACTTTCAAATACTCTTTCCCATAAGCCACAAGAATTTTTTTGGAAGTTGCAATTCTGCATCCAAACTATGTCTTACAACCTTTCTCTCATAACAAAGAACAGCACAGAAGTTCTGGGGCAGGTCACTTGTTCATCTTATTGCTCAAAAAACACGATGACTCTCCATAACTCAAATGTTCAGAGGATATTACTTGGCTTTCTTCTTTAGGTCTGAGATGCTCATTATCTGGTCTAGTTGTGCCTTACTGAGGCCAAACATGAGAAAAATAATACTAACCACCAACCACAGACACTTAAGTACATACAACACATACATAACATTGCCTTGAGTTGTAGAAAAATTTGCTATCATCATCGTTCTCTGAACTGTTTTCTTTATATGTCTCAATTCTTTTTGGAGTCATTGAACTTGCTTCTTGGGTCTTTTTTCTCTATCATGGGTTTAAGTCACAGGCTAAAAGAAAGACCTAATGTATTGATTATATCTACTATATTCCAGCCACAATGATCAGTGCTTTAGATACAGGGCTTTATTCATTTTACAATAACCTTATGATATGACACAGATATTTATATTCCCCAATTTACACTTGAAAGAGCCACGGCTCAGAAAGGTGAATTGGTTTGTTAGTGACTCACAGATACTGAGTACTTTGAGATGAAATTAGAAACCTGTCTATCTCTCAAGCAGCCTAAACATAGTTGAAGAACATCTCTATATTCACACACAGAAATTGCACCACAGTTGTTGAACTATTGGACAGAAGCCATAGCTCAAGCAACAGAACTCTGACCTTGGAAGTCACCCTAAAGGAAGGACTGATATCTGAGGTTTGGGGATGGCAAAATGTTCACATTTTCAGATTGATTATTTATGTTGGTAGAGTCATAGACATAATTCTGCATTGTCCAGATGGTGCTGGTAGCTTTTCTGTCTGGTGGCAATTTGTTGTCATCCTTCAAGTGTGTGAGTGCTGAGATAACCCATTCAGGGGAATCTGGGAAACAGGCCCAGGGAAGAGTTATAGAGACCCAAGACCTTCAATGATCTGGAACTCAGAGGTGTCTGGAAAGGATTGCTATGGAATAACCAAGTAGCAACCAGGGCACTTGGAGACTGTCTCTATAGATCAATCCTTCAGCACTTGGGAGAGGATAGAATGCACAATAGAAAAGAATGGTTTCTTGGGGTTAGTAAGTGCGCTGAGTGTGGATGGGATGAGGACTGTTTCTCCTTCATGAGATAGTCCTAAGCAGTCTTCAAAAATGTATTTCCCTCACCCCAGTTCTTTCTGCATTTTTCTCTTAGGAAAACCATCCTGGGGAAACTCAGTAGCCCTTAAAGAACATTTCATGGTGCTGTGCTCTGGGATAGGATGGGTTGCTCTGATTTTTTCTTTCCTTCACATATTCTCTGGTCACACCTGCAGGTCCTTTCTCCCTTGGGACATTGCCTGTGTAAAATATATTCATAGTAAGACAAAAAGTAGTTTCTCTTTGGAGACACCAATATATGGTTCTTTGAGCATCAGTTTGACCTGGAAATATTCATAACTATCACTGCAACCTGGCCTTTGTCAACAAACATACACATACACGCATGCACACACACACACTCACTCATTCATACACTGTCATATTGCTGACTGATATGAGAAAATCTGACTGATGGCCATGTTACCCTGGAGTCAGTGCTACTGAAAAAGCCAAGTCAGGGCAGAAGACAATCAAAACTGCTTGGTGGTAGAGAGCATAGATCCTGCAGCCAGACTAATTGAATCCAAATCCTGCCCCTGATACTGAAGCTGCGACACCTTAAGCAAATTGCGGAACTTCTCAAGCCCTGGTTTCCTCACCTATAGAATGGGCATGTTAATAATATCAACCCTAAGTCATAAGATCATACATGCAAAATTCTTACCCACCGTCAGCCTTGCAGGAAGTGCCGAGTTAACATTAGCTGCTGTTGTTTATTATTGAGCACACATGGTCAAAATTACAATAGTTATTATTTGTTGAATATTTGTTACATACAAAGCTCTGAGCTAGGGGCTGGGGATGAGGCTCAAGCGGTAGCATGCTCGCCTGGCATGCACAGGGCACTGGGTTCGATCCTTTGCACCACATAAAAACAATTTAAAAATAAAGATGTTGTGTCCACCGAAAACTAAAAAATAAATATTAAAAAATTCTCTCTCTGGGGTGCTGGATTCAATCCTCAGCACCACATAAAAAAATTAAAAAATAAAGATGTTGTGTCCACGAAAAACTAAAAAATAAATATTAAAAAATTCTTTCTCTCTCTAAAAAAAGAAAAAAAAAACACAAGAAAACTCTGAGCTAAGTAATATTTGTTAGTCAGTTCTTCGTTGCTGAACCAAAATACATGACAATAACAACCTAGAGAAGGAAAAGTTTATTTTGGCTAATGGTTTCAGAGATTTGGTCCGTGATTTGTAGCTCCATTGCTCTGGATCTGAAGTAAGGCAGAGCACTGTGGCCAAAGGATGTGGCAGTTGGGAAATATTAAAAGAGAGAGGAAGGGGCTGTAAAGCAGATGCACCCTTCTAGGAAATTCCCCCAGTAACCCACATTCTGCAGCCACACTCCACCTGCCTACAGTTACCACCCAGTTAGCCCTTGCACACTAGTATGGACTGATTAGGTCTCATAGTTTAACCATTTTACCTCTGAATATTCCTGCATGAACACAGGAGTATTTGGATGATACCATACCCAAACCATAACCTACTTTAAATACATTGTCTTCTTTAATTTTCAGAGTGACACTCTAAGTTACATTCTAGAATATTCCATCTGACAGGTGAAGAACCTGAGACCCAGAGAGGTTATGTCTCTAAGGACCCAAAGCTACTAAGTGTCAGAGTCTAGTCTGTCTGACTATAAGTTCTAACCAAGGCCTCACATAAATTTTATTTTACAAAAACCAGAATTAGGGCTACTTGTTGAATATCTATCAACCCCTTTCACTTCAGGAACCCATCTTTCTGAATCACCAAAAACTTTAGTATGGCCCTTTAAAATATTAGGGATAATCATTGTGAAAGCCTGATAACTCCACATGGGCTACAGTTAACATGGGGAGAGAACATTTTTTTCTGCCCTACAATGGTGTGAGGAAAGGTATATCTTAAGTGCTTTAAGACACCTGCCTGATACAGACAGCAAGTGAGGCATCAGGAGAACATGATGATCGTGAGCTCAGGGTTTGCAACTAGACAACCCTGGGTTTCAGCGTTTGTATCCCCAAAATACCCTTTTTATACTTTCTTTTTTCAGTTGTGGGGATTAAACCCAAGGCTTCATGCTTGCTAGGCCAGTAGGCCAGTGATCTTCCACAGAGTCACACCCCCAAGCCCCTAGCTTATTAAATGATTAAATCCCTCTAAGCTGCCATTTCTGCAGTTGGTTTGAATGGATCCCCCAAAAGTTCATGTGTTGGAATCTAAATCCCAACTCAGTTTTGAGAGGTGGTAGGGCCTTTAAGAAGTGATTAGATCATAAAGAGAGATTAAAGCCTTGGGCATGGGTTTGTTCTTGCCACAGAAGGTTGTTACAAAGTAAGTCTGCCCTTATGTTCTGCCCCTTCTGCGTGTACCAACTTGCCCTTCCTCTTTTTGCCCTGAGTTGAAGCAGTGTGAGGCCCTCTCTAGCACCATGCTCTTGAACTTCTAGTCTGAAGAACTCTGAGCCAAATAACCTCTATTATTTTTTTAATTATTTAGTCTCAGGTATTTTGTTTTAGCTAAGTTTCCTCACACACACTAGGGACAAGGGCACATTCTTCCTCAATGGTGGTTCTGGGGACTAACTGTTGTTTTTCCTGAGAAGCACAGAACACAATGCAGGATGCAGAGGAAAACTTTAATAAATTATTTCATTTGTATAGCAATTATTAAGTGTTCAAATAATATTGTCTAATATTTTATTTATATTCAATTCTGAAAATAATTATGCCATAGAGAACAGGAACCAAGTATGAAGGGGCTGTTTGTCTTACTCAGGGACCCAGAGGGCGGGCAGTGGGCCCAGTGCTCTTTGCACAATTTAACAGTCACTGAAACCAGCAGACCAGGGGAGGCACTAAAAGTCTCTTGCTGTGCTCTGAGGAAGGGAGCCCAGGTCTTTTTAGAAAGCAGCAGCACAAATCATTCTACCAGTCATAAATCTACTGATCCCTCCACAAAGCTAAGCCCAGCCTTATGGGATCATCCCTGTGTCTCCCAATAGATGAGCTTTGGAAGTTTCTTGAGCAGGCTTCCACCTTTGTTTGTGCTTAGGGTCAGATACTAAGGTGGTCATTTCTGAAAGGCTTCCCCACAGGTTCCAGTTCTCTCAATGGTGGTGACATTGAGAAGTCCCCATATATTGCAGTTGGGTGGTTGAAACGTCTGCTCTGGGAGTGGCTGGAAATCAGCTGGAATCGCAAAAGCCTTGTAATTAGAATTAGAGTGACTAATTTCCAGGTACCATCACAGGTTCTTGCAAATTGCATTTGTAGAAATTACACCCACTGATGTCCAACCTGCCCTGAATCACTCTATACTCACAGCAGAAATAGCTGGTGTGTCAGAGAACTCTACAAATAAGGTAAATAATCACATGGGACCTCATCCATGGAGACAGGCCTCCTCTTGTCCTGGAAAAGCACTGTGCTGATGACGTCATGTTAGCTGTCACATTTTCCTGGTATCTAAGGGAAATGTCAGAGAGCAACCCTAACACAGGTGAACAGGGCAACTTTGGGTGACCTCAGGCAATGCCTTCTCTTTCTGATTCTCTCTTTGTAAAATGACAGAGTTAAAGTAAATAATATCTAAAACTCACCAGCTGTGACAGTTACCACTTCATCTGTGATTAAATTATCTAAAAATCTGCTCATTAGAGGTAATAAAAGCTACCATAGTTGAATATGTAGATCTTTCATACAACAGCCCTACAAAGTTGGTACTGTTAATATTTCCATATTATGCACGCAAAAATGGAGGCCCAGAATGGTTAAGCATCTTATCCAAAGAAGCATAATCCCAAGGTCTATGCTTTTGACCACTAATGATAACAATGAAAACACTGATTGATTAATCATGCATGCTAAGGGTTCCAGATCTTCCTTTTCTAGATGTCTCCATTTTTATCCATAAGTGGTGTGTGTGTCAGCTCTGAGGTATCAAGTAGCAGATATATACATATATATCACCTAAGTCCTAGGTAGCATGTCAACCCTGGATAGGTCCTGACAGATCACCTAAACTGAGGGCTTTTTTTTTTCCATACTGGGCTGAGTGTTCTTAACTCATCATCCTTGGGCCTACATGAAGGGGTCCATGAAACTTCTCAAATTATATGCGAAATATGGGTGGATCTATATAAATAATTCCAAGGGGAGATTTTCATAGATTTTTTTTTTCAGGATTTCAAAGAAGTCTACAAACTTTTAAAGACCAACCCATCTTTGACAGTAAATCAGAAACTTTGTGGGACAAAGATTTGCCCACATACTCAAAACAAGTGGTGGATCCCAGATGACCTGGTCCCAAGCTCAGAGATCTTAGGCTTCACCACACTGACGAAACTCAGATCCCTCCAACATAAACCAAGGACCTGCTGGGGTAGAGTCAAGCAAAACATGCCACAAGACTGTGGGCATAGTTTAGAAAGTCATCATTCATGATAGCCTTGAATTTAACTTTGACCCTCTGTATCTCATTATAAATTTCTTTGAAGTTCTTGTCATCGGTATAGTTACCATTGATCTGCCTTTCTGCTCATCTGCTGTGAATGAAAACTTAGCCCAAGGCATGTCACTCAGATTCTGTGCAATCTGCTTCTACCTGGCCCCATTTGTGGTTTCCATAGATGCTTAAATCAATTGGGTTTTGTCCCTACCTGTTTTTGTTAAAATAATAGCCCAAACTAAAACTGACAACAGCTAAACTGCACAAAGCAAAATATGTTAATGACTAAATGTTGACAGAGAAACTACACTGTCCTAACAAAACTCAGATCAAGCAAATTCAGTCAAAGAAAATTGGACTTAGTAGAAATAAGCCATAACACACACACACACACACACACACACACACACAATGAAATATTATACAGCCATAAAGAAAAATGAAATTATGCCATTTTCAGGAAAATGGAACTTGAGATCATTATGTTAAGTGAAATAAGCCAAATTCAAAATTTCAAGATTCATGTGTTATCTCTCTATATGGATGCTAGAGAGGAAAAACAAAAAGAAAACTGGAGGGTGATGGCATTAAAAGCAAAAGGACCTCATTAAAATAGAGAAAGGGGACCAGTGTGTGGGAAGAGGGGAAGGATGGGTAAAGTACTGGGAGGGATATTGGCCAAATTATATTGTTTTATTGGGTACATGCATTAATATATAACAACAAATTCCACCTCTATGTACAACCATAATGCACCAATTTAAAAATGTGGAGGGAAAAAAAGAAGAAAAAAATAAAAGAAAGCCAAAATAGAAAATTTCCCAGTGGCAGAAGATAAAATTAGAAACAGATAAATCACAACTGATAAATTATTCCATCTTTGTAAAAATTCATATGCAAAAAAATCAATCTCTATAGAATGATTTTGATAAAAATTTTTAAAAGATGGGAAAAGTAGAAATGGTTTAAACACATTATGTTGGAGTAGAAATGGATTAATAAGCATTAAAAAAAACTTAAGGCAAAAATTGGCTATTGTCTGTATTTTCAAAGTCACAGCTGTGAGAATGAATCCTCAGTGCAAAACCACAGGGATCAAAATATCTGCTAGGTTGCACAATAGGTTCAAAATGGCAGCAGCAATATAAGGAGGTCAGCACTTTCTACACCAGTGTTTGGTAAGTGATGGACGCCATCATTTGCAGACGATGCTCTGACAAGGGAGGTAGATTGAGACAATAACTGCCTTGTAGGTTCTCTTGAATTTCCTAGCAACTAGCTGAGACGACACTCCTCTAGGCATGCCTTATGAAAATTGAAACACTACGGAATAAATGTTACAGATGTCAAGTGACAATTATCAATTATCTTTCAGCTGCAGGAAAGTTGCTGGAGAATTTCATTTGCAACCTGAGTAAAAAAAAAAAAGAAGTATCTTTGCTCTTTGCCTTCCATTTCCAGTGCATCCTAGGAATTACTTGCCCCATGTCCTGGTCATGCCAGGCACTGACTTGAACTCCAGACTGGGCCCACTCACTGTCTAGGCCTCATCTTCTTTGTCTGAGGGAACTTCAGGGTGTTACAGCCCACTGCTACCCACTGCTGAGAGCCAGTTGTTAAATTTTTAGGAATTTTGAGAGCAGGTGGTTAAGCAGAGCCTTATTCGAAGTTAAATTATATAAAGAATATAAATTTATAATCAAATATGATACGTTGTTAAGAAATAATAAATATTGAAAATTCTTGAGTTTGCTACTCTCTGTTCTCTTGATTATGCACCATGACATCTGTGATGGTAGGAATACTCTCTAATGCTGAGCTCCAGCACATCTTTCCCATCTTCATATGCAGTGATATCACCTTAGCAGCTTGACATCAGGCAAGGGGGGAATGTTTACACTGCAGAAATTTTCAAATGCTATAAATCAGAGCTTTAAAATGTACAGTTCTGTTGATTATCTAGACTTAGGAATGTGATGCTAAAAAGGCAGAGTATATTTAAAACTCTCCACTCTGAAGCTGTTACATTGAGATGAGCACAAAAACTGAGAGAATTCTTTCTGATTCAGAAAAAAAATCACATTGATGAATTAGGAATTTCCAACATCTCTGTTGTTTCTCTTTCATATTTACTTGTTCACAAAAATATCAACCAGCATTCACATCAAAGCTGCATTGGTTATTCAATTGTAACCACAGTGACACTAGATACAAGAGTTCCACATAAATAAATAGATGCATTGTCTGAGAATCAATTGCCTACATGGAATTTATAATGAAGACTATTGATATTGTGTTGTTATTTGTGAATGGCATATTATACATTCTTTATAAAAATAAAATTCAAAATGGCTTGAGAACACACACACACCACACACACACACACACACACACACACATTTTGTTTTTCAGAGAACCAGCTGTTAGAGACCTAGCCTGGACTTTCTTCAGGGCCTCTCCATCACTTCCCACAAGCCCACCAGAACCGGCCACAGCCTGCAGGCCTGTAGGTTAAGAAAGGTTATGATGGGCCCAGAGAAGTGCCTGGAAGTTTGGCCAGAGAGGAAAGCTGGTGTTTACATTGAGGGCTGGCTCCAGAATCTCTTTTGTCTGTTCAGGGCTTTTATTTATTTTCAAACTGGCCCAAGGCCTTTGACCCCAGTTTGAAGCTAGCGGGCAGGAAGAAAGGTCTTTTTCTTTCATGAGGATTGGCCACTTGGTTGGCTGGGACAGAACTTCAGGATGTTCTCCAAGCCTGGTCCAGGACATCACAGAACTCTTGAATGGTGGTTCATGTTCAAACTGGAAAGAGAATGACCCCTGCCCCCACCAACTTCTTCCTGGAAATTGCATATCCTTCAACACTGCATGAAGCCAACACTTGGTAAAGTACCTCTCTATTTCAAATCAAGTGTCCTATAGGGGACATATTTACTTATTTCATTATTTAATCCATGTATAAACACATTGTAAATAATGCCTATAGTCCATTCATTTACTTATTTCTTTTATTTGATAAATAAATTTTGAGCATCTTCCTTGGATCAGACATTATTCTAGTGCTATGGGTGCAGAGGTGACCCAGAGAATCTCTGACCTCATAACCCATAATCAAGTGGAAAATATGGATGCTGCACTTGTTGCACATTCAGTTGAATGCAAAATAGAGGTGCTTTCCCCACATGTTGCAAGTTGAATTCATTACCTTCTTCACCCAAAAAAGGGCTCTTCTGAAATGTCTGTCACTGTAACAAGAGCCAACATTATGTACATGTGTCACGTATTTTATATCTATTAACTCATTCGATCCTCACAATGGTCCTAAAAGTTCTATTTCACTCCTGTTTACCATGATGAATGTAAGACACCAAGAACTTAAACATTTGTCTGAGGCCACACTTGATAAACAACAGAGCTTTTCAGTGGTACCACTGTCTATTTAGACTGCTTGTTCAGATGAAAAAGAACTAGCTAGCTGAAGTTACATGAGATTTAGCAAAAGCCCAGCTGAATTTTCATGCAATCCTTGCAATATGGATGAAGATTGGGCTGGAATCTCCACTCTAATTTTCTACCTGCAGGACTTTGGGTAAGAAGTCTTCTCTTATAACATCTCTGAACTTGTTTTTCATGAAGAAGTTCATCAGAGGGCCCTGTCCTACCAAGGAGCCCATACGCACTATGAGGTCAGGCACTGTCATTACTTGTTCACTAGATGGATAGATGAATGGTTGAATGGATGGATGGATGGATGGATGGATGGATGGATGAATAGATGGACAGATGGACAATGAGTAGAGATATGGCTATCTGCCTCCTCTGTCCCATCAGAGGTAAACTCAGATTTTTTCCTCCTAGAATAACTATACCTCACATGTGTCCAGTCTTCTCTGAGCAGACTGACAGGTACTAGGGGACAGGGACTGCATCTGGCCACACCCTCAACTTATGATTCCCAAGGAAGGACATTTGGGACCTGAAACAATACTCTGACCATATAGGTCAAAAAAATATTCTAAAGATATCACCTGTTCCCTGCTCCCCAGTATTCCATAGGCTATCCATCAATGAAAGAATGTATTGGGGTGTCAGTACAATAAACCAAGGTTACTCCCTTTACACTTTCTGGCCATCACCCTTCCTTAGAGCAAAGGGATTCTGATGTACATAGAGAAGTATTTCTCTTCAAGGTCTTGAGTTCTGAATGTGAAAGTGTGTATCCAGAATTACATAGTTATTGAAAGAATAGAATTTCAGGTTAGGCCACATCTCTGCACGTGTCTTAACTACTTTTGAGTCCTGATTTCTTCATCTGGGAAGTGGTGATAATGACACATTCTTTGTAGGTCATTTAGAAGATTACAGTAGGTAGATTCTTTAGCACAACACCTTGTATGGGCTCAGTGAAATACCATGGTTATCCCTACTCATAACTATTATCAGAAAATTTGGAAGACACTTGCTGTATTTATAACTACTCATTATACATTCTAAGAAAATGAAGATTGTGTTTATTATTGTCAATAAACTTCTGTTGAACTCCTGTTCTGCTTGTTAACTCTCCTATCACCCAATATCCTCACTATTTATAAGCAATTAGCAATCGGATTATGGCTTAAATACTTTCTCCCTCTCATAAACAATAAGAAGCCAATAAGATTCAAAATCTGAATCCAATGTCTCACTCATTCATTTTTGTATTCTTTCACTCAACAAATCTTGATGCATGTCTGCCATGTGTCAGACACAGGGCTGGACTTGGAATACAGGGATGAGTGGCCCTGACAAGGTCCTGGGTCTTATGGAGCTTCCAGTATAGGTAGTTCATGGGCATTGTTTCAAAGACAGAAAGACAAAATTCAGTCACAAAAAGCATAACGTAAACTAAGATAAGTGCTCGGAAAGAAAAGCGCAAGGCTCTAAGAGCACGGGCAAAAGGGAAAACATAATCTAAAGACATGAGGAAAAAGAAAGACAGGCGGACTTTATGTAACTGGAAAAAGAGGAAAGAATCCACAGGACTTGGAAGAGGGTCAGAATATCAGTCTACATAATCCCTTGGCATTTTAAATAACTCAAAATGCAAATCCACCAAGCCATCTCTCGGTTTGGCTATGCTTTCCTCCACCCACCAGCATCCCAAAGCTGCCTGCTCTAGGACAGACAAGTCAGTTTTGTTCTGTTTATGAACTAGCTGTTTGGTCACCAGGATCACCATGCAGCTGTTAGTGCAGGCTGGTCTGTGGCAGCTCCCTGGGGAGGAAAGCAGATGCAGCTCGCACCACTGCTTGTCTAGGACAATGGTCAGAAAACTCAGGGACATTCCTAGGAGTATCTCCATAGGCCAATGTCCAGTATGTCCCCAAAGGGACGAACACCAGAAGTTCTCAACTTCTAAGAGAGTTTAAGAACAAAACAAGTCTCCTTCACATGTAATATCCAGGCCATACAAGAAGAGTAAAGTAGTTGAGAGTCAAGTTCATCACATTTAAATATATATAAATATACACCCTACATCTACCTATATTTAAATATATACTCTACATCTGAAAGGCCAAAATGAAAGACAGGAGAGGTCACCTATTTCAAAATCCTTTTCATAGATGATGGTAAATTTTGCAATCCCAAATACAAATCAAATAGGAGGCTAAGGGAACAGATAGCCAAGCATTGATAAATATTCTGAGTGAAAAACTGTTTCTACCACTATCTATGCATGAGAATTAAAGCATTCCCTCATGAATGTGGGCCTCTCCCAGTCTATTTGTTGCATATGACATATTTGGAGGAGGAGGATGTTCCTAACAGCTTTTTTCCATCAAAATCGGTTATTCTCTTGTGTCTTTGAGTTCCTTTTTTGCTTCTACCATTCAAGCTATAAGATCATGGTGAATGAGACCCTAGAGGCTGCACTGGCTGCCCGCCCGTTGCTCAGGGGTCTATACACCTCTTCTGTTGACTCTAAGGTTTCTTGCAAGTTTCCTTCTCTCATTCACTCCCCACTAGGAATCTTCAAAATCTAGTTTATAAAGCTTCTGCCCTATCTCCACATGGTCATTATAACCTTTCTTTTCCTCCTTCCATTTTCCATTTGAATATTATCAATTTTTGACCCCACTAGAATCAATTGAATTGATTTCATTCCAATATTGCAAGTTGCAGATACAAGTTTTAATCTAGCTTCTATTCATTATCACATTAGGGAGAGCATCTCTCCCACAAACATCTTCCTGTCATAGACACACAATAAAACATAATGGTTTCAGCAGCAGAGACTTAGGTTCGAATCTCATCCCAAACACTTATTAATGCAGATTTAGTCAAAATACTTCCATTGTATAAATCCCAATGGAAATAACAGTATCTACCTCAAAGTGTTGCTGGATTACAGGAGAGAATTCTCACAAAGGTATTGCATAAGACCTAATGCATTCAATGTCAACCAGTATTTTTATTCTGAAACATACTAGTCTCCTGTGTCAAAAGGTTGTCCATCAAATGAGATTAAGAAAAAACAGAAGCCAGAACCCTCCTATACTTTTTTAGAGACCGACCTCCAGGTCAGCACTTTTCATATTGCGTGTTAGTGAAAGAAATCTGTTTAACAAGACATACTGCATATTTTTTAACTGTAATAGTATTTTTAATGGAAAGCAATTGTCCAACAAATATGTATGTTTATGCATGTATGTACTGGAATACAATGTAAAGCATCTTTCTTACTGTTGGTCACAATTTGAAAACTGTCTTTGTAGGCTGACCCAGAGTTATTAAACACGTTCTTTGGTAATGATATGTATGTACTATTTAAGAAAGACATTACTGCCCCCTGCTGGAGCTCTTGATTTCTCATAGAGAGGGATACTCCATTAACCTGCCATCTCAATCATTACCCATGTGACTTCAGTCATCCTCCCCACACCTACCCTGTCTGAAACTCACCTGAGAAGGACTCATTCCTTGATCAACCTTGATGCCCTGGACAGTGAATCAGAAGCAGCCCCAAAAGAGGGAGCTGGAGATCTTACCTTTAAATAATTTCAAAAGCAAAGCCTCCCATTTGCATACTAGCCTCTCCTGAGAAACTAAGCTGAGCCACCCCATGTGGAGTCTCAGCCACACATGTTATCCTTGGTCTCACCTCTGACCCAGCAGATGGGCAGAGTCCACACCCTTGAAGCTGCCACCACCTGCCTCTGGTTCCCTGGAGAGAAGACACCCATCGGAAGAATGTGAACCAACTGCAAGTTCTCAGAACTCAGATTTCCAGCAGGGTGGACTCTGTCCACTAAGCCTTCTGAGTTCTAAAATATTGACTAATATGAGGAGTACAGGTAGGTACATACTGGGAAAGACATGCCCTCCCACCCAAGAGGTAATATGGCCAAGGTAAAAGTCCAAGAGCAAAGACCACCCCCAACATCCATGCCTGCACAGGAAGGAGCAAAGGCAGATATGCTAAGACTACTTAATTCTGCTTCCTTGTGACACTACCACAAATTGAGTGCTCACGCCAAGCCATCCACACACATTGTCTCAATTAAAACTCCAAGCAGAGGAATAATTGAGGCTTAAAGAGATAAAGTAACTTGCTCAGGTCCCTCAGGGAGGCCTGCTTCAGACCCACATGTCTCTGAATGCAGGACCAGACTCCCAGCCAAGGCTGGGTGCTAGGGGCTGGGGGCTGGCTACAAGTTCTCCACATTGAGGGTTTTCTCCAGAAAGAAACAGAATGTGAAACTGAATGGCAAAATAGAAGATAAAACCTAAAATAAAAATGTTAAGTTTAAAGCTTAACTTCAAAATAAACAGACCAATGGGAGGGGTCATAGTATGCATTTTTTAGAACACAAAAATTAAATTTTAAAAACAGCCTCATTATGTTGAGTCCTAGATTTAAGTTTCAGTCTTCCATGAACAAAGGATTGTCCCCAAAGATAGATTTGCTTTGGCCATTTCCTTCTGTATGAAATAAAGATTTAAAAATTAAAAAAAAAAAAAAATCTTTTTCAGACCATCAGTATTTACCTTCTACATCAGGCACTGTGTGTACTTGGTACTTTTACGTGTTCTATCTGACATATGCTTGACAATGCTTGGTTCAGTGAGAAACAGAATCTTACCCAGGGATGCCTGACTCCAAAATATGTTCCCTTGCTGACACCTGGTGAGTACCGGATCCATTTCCTTGACTTTCTTCCTCTTTGGCCCTCGCCCACACAACTTAATAAGAGCAACTATCAAAATGAAAAAGGCCCCAACCTTCAAGGTCATGAAAGGACTGAGAAAGAAAAGACTGAGAAAATGTTACCGATCTGAGCTGGCTACGGAAACATGGTGACTAATGTAATACGATACTCTAGGCTGGATCCTGGGTGAGAAAAGAGCATTAGTAGGGACAAGGGTGAGATTCAAATAAGGGCTGAAGTGCCTATTGCAACATCCAGGTCCTAATGGGCCTCCCATCTCCCCTTCTGCTGTCCTTAATCCCTTCTCAGGCTGCTTCCAGAATCATCTTTCTAAAGCCCAGGTCCCATGTGTGTCTCTCTCAGGGCTTTGTAACTCTTCTGTGGTTCTCCCTCACCTTCATGTTGAAGTCCAAACTCCTGTGCCTATCTCCATCCCCCCGTCTCCAATCTCTTCTTCACCTCCCATCCCTGCTCCCCTACTCTCATCCCTTGCTGAACTCTCTGCTGCTCTCAGGAAACATGCTTCTCCCCGCTCTGGACCTTTGCTTGACACATGCCCTGTCTGTCAACACCAACTTTCTAACCACAGTTAGAATTAAGTAGGTCTTTCTGTTCTGGACTCAGCTTAGACATCATTTTCTCCAGGATACCCTTGTTCCCATGCCTGGTAAAATCCCCTCCTCTTAGAGACCATAATACCCCATAACTGACTCCCATTGCATTGCTTCTGATCCTGAATCACACTAAATAGTGCAGCATTTACCCCTTTTCTCTCACCCAAATGGGCCCAAACTTCCCTGATTTGGGAAGTATGTGCCCAGATATGGCTTGGAAATCACTGACCTTGTGAGGAGGTCAGTCCTCTCAGCCACTTTCTTCATTTTTCTGGTGCTCAAAAAGAAAGTGACTGGTGTTCGTCTGTCTTCTTCATTCCCTGCCACTTGTTCATCTAGTTTCCAACAATGCCAGGTCAGGCCCAGGCTGGGCACTTGCTGTAACCAGAGGACTTAGTTCAAATTTAGTGCATTATTTTGTTTCCATTACATTTGTTATTATCTATGGTATTCTACTTATGGAAAGCAATACAAGTATATCTCATATATGTAAACCAGTCTCCTTTATAAAATGAACCTATATTGGTAAAAGATGTAAATTAATATTTTTAAAACCTTGGGAAAAAAATCTTTGGATGGTGAATACAGCAATAAATGCATGCCCACATACACACATGCAAACATGCAGACATGTACCTGTGAAGGTGGCCCTGAATAACAGAAATCCTGTCATTCATGCAACCATATCCTTGATTCATGAGACCTAGAATACTGCTGTGTTTGCCACTAACTATCTATGCGACTAGAAGAAAAATCACTTTTCTATTTCTCAGTTTACTTGCTTTTAAAAAGAAGAGAATAAAATTAAAGTATAAGAAGATAATTTCATGTCCTATATACCATCTCTTAAGCTGTTCATTCAGTATGAAAATAACATCACAGAAAAGGAACTTGAATGGGACTTATTTTAGATCTCAGAGATCTAAGATGCATAGAAGTTAAGTGCCTTACCCAAAGTCACCCTGCAAATTAATGAATTGCACCCCCCAATTCTGACATTCTTCTCCCTGCATATTCCCTTCTCCAAATAAACTTCTGTCAAATTAGTTACATTGTATTAAAAGAGAACACCTACATATACAATATATATAAAACTCTCTTAAAGGAAAATCAAATAAGAAAAGGATAAAAGTAGTATTCATATTCAGATTGTTAACACTATTGGTTAGGGAAATAGTGCACCTGAAAACCCAGAAAGCACGCTACAGGTTTTCCACGATGTTGCAATTCTGTCCTTGTTCTTTATTTAGATTGAATACAAGAAGCCAGGAGGGAAGTGACCCACAGAAATTCAGGGAGGAGGAATAAGATAAAAAAGGTAACAAATTCACCTTTGGCTATGATATAATAAATAGAGATCAGATCCAATGACCACTTCACTTTCTGTGGATCACGAGAAAAAGAACATCAACACAATTCCAAGGGAAACTGCCCCCATTTTTAAAATGAAAATTTCAAAAACTTTTAAAGACTAAGCAAGCAATTTACATATAGGATATAGTAATTGCAATTATATAGTATAATGTTTTGCTCATTAAAAAAAAAAAGTCTTACCCTTGTCTTTGGAAGCACACTGAATATTTATATCTGGTTAGAGGCAAATTTACCATATTCACAGAAGAATCAAAACACAGAGAATTAGAAAAATGTAATCAACACTTTCAACGAAATGTAAGGTAGACAGACATAACGCCCTGCACATACGTGTGTGTGCCTACGTATGTGTTTATATACGCATATGTCTATTTACATGTGTATTTGCAGCAAATGAGAAAGATCTGGCCGAACAGAAGTTCATGTGAGAAGATGAAGAGGCTTTAAGTGATGATAAAGCTCAATGTGAGCCAAGATTAAGATATGCATGCTGGAGAGCAGAAAACCCCCAACACAAACGTAAGATGCAGCATTATAGTACATTAATTAAAGTAATTTCTCTTCGTATTCTTCACCTGCCAGCCAATGACAAAATTCTGGTGAAGCTCTGGGAACCTCATTTTAGGAGGAATAACATCAAATCTGGTCAAAGGAAAATGATCAGTTGGTGGGAAAGGGAAAGAATCTGTAACCCGAGTCACATTGGGAATGGTTCATAGCAAGGGTTCCAGGACCAAGCAAGCCTTCTTCAAATACAAGATGTGTAACTGTTCTGGAATGCATGTGCCCCTGACCATCTCCCAAGAATGTTGTTGAAAGGACTTTGCATGGGAGATTAGACTGGCTAGCCTCAACCACAGCATTCCTCCCTCCCAGCTCGGAGATTTTATTGCTTGTGGTGGGAGAAAAATGGCATCTATTTTACATGGTAATGGATTAAATAATTTCATTTCCTTCCTAGGAAAAAAATACTTTCTAGAGTACAGCATTTGACAACCAAGTCCCCAAGAGAAAAATGTGCCTATGTGTAAACAACCTTGGTGACCAGAAGACATAACAACAACTCCATGCACCCCTTCCTTCCCAGCCCACCAAATGAGCAACAGTCAATCAGCCCAAAGAGCTAGAAATAAAGGGCAGATGGTCTCATAGTCAAACCTAAACTGATGGGCCTCAGGTGGAGATCCTGATGGCCTGATCTCCTTACATGTGCACACTGCTCAGAGCAAGGGTAGACCACTCACATCAGGATCACTGGAGTTGCTCACCTGACATGCCTGTTCCTGAGACATATCCCTGGCCTACTGAACCAAAATTATAAGAGTGGGAACTAGTAAATTCATGCACAACAAGTTCCTCAGGTTTTTCTTATGCACACCTGAGAACCCCCATCTTAGACAGCTCCTCAAATTTTAGTGTGCATTCAAATCAACTGGAGAGCTCACAAGAGCTAGAGCTCTATGTCTTAGTGGGGCCCAAGAATTGGCATTTCAATGCTGATGGTTTGGGGAACATATTTTGAGTTACTGCCTTAGAGAATTCCTGAATCCATTAAAGAATTCAGTAGCCAGGCACGGTAGCAAATGCCTGTAATCCCAGCAACTCTGGAGACTGAAGCAGTCAAGTTTGAGGCCAGCCTCAGCAACTTAGCAAGGTCCTGTCTCAAAATAAAAGATAAAATGGATTGGGATATAGCTCAGGGGTAAAACACCCCTATGTTCAATCACTAGTACCCTCCCTGCCAAAAAACCTCAGACAGTATGATAGGTAGCTCCTGAAATGATGCCCAATGATACCCCACATCCTGGTGTCCATGCCATTGGTAGCCATTCCCCTTTGTGTGGGCTGGTTCTAGTTACTCACTTGTAACTAATAGAATAGGCAAAACTAAAGGGATATCACTTCTGCAATTTGGTCATAAAAAGACAGTGACTTGGTTCTCTCACTCACTCTCACTCCAGTTTTTCTCCCTTGTTTACTCTGATGAAGCAAACTGCCATGTTGTAAACCTCTGAACGGAGAGGCCCTTTGGGCAGGTGACTGTGGGCAGCATCTGGCCAGCCTCTGGCCATCCACCAGTGAGGAACGGGCTCCAGCCAACAACTACACAGTGTACTTGGGAGCAGATACTTAACTCATGACAACAGCAGCCCCAGCTGACACTTTGACTGCAACCTGTGAACCACCCTGAGCCACCCTGAACCATTTTTAAGTCACACTTGGATTCTGCCCCATAGAAACTGGGAGATGATAAATGTTGTTTCAATCCATGCGGTGTTTTAAAGATAATTGACAGAGTTGTTTTGAAATCAGTATGGCACCTTGGTCTTTAGCCCATCCTTCAACCTATTTCATTTGTGCCCACCATAAAGGTGACAAAAATGTGTGTGTAAATATAAATAGTCAATATGTAATGATGTACACTATTTACATATAGTTTATGTCATGATTTTCTTAATGCTCAGTTTTCAAGATTTGGCCTTTGAAAAGCTTGTGGGGGTTTCTGGGACATTATGAGGGAGAATGGCCTCTGGGCTGGATGGAGTTGGTGAATTCCAGTCAGATCTCACCCGCTGTGTGCTTGACCTGGCCATTCTGAGGTAAGATTCTGTGATCTTAGTGGGTTCATTCCTGCCAGTCCCCACAAGCCTGAAGAGTGGCACCTCCTTTGGTTTTGAAGAAAGAAAGGAAACTGTGGGTTCCTCCACTGGCAAGTGGCGGGATCTGTCCCTGAGAAAACTGGTGAAGAGCACATCCTCCAATCTGTCTGCCTCTTCACCAGCGTGGTGCCTGATTTCCTCACGAGGGAAGGAAGGAAGGTTCCCAGGGGCGAGGTTTCTCATTTTCTCCAGAATCACATGTCAAGAAAGTCCATTTCAGAGGTTGTGTGGTAGTGCCACAGTCACCTGGAGAAGGCTCCGGAGCAAAGCCCTGAGCCAGGACTTCCCACAGCAGCTCCATCATCAGCGCCTTGTGTGGCCGGGAATGATTCCCTCTCCCTCTGGGCTCCACTCTTCTCATTGTAAAATGAGGAGGCTGGGCCAGGTGGTGACTCAGACCCTCCTGATTAGGACCTAAGAGCCTACGGCAAGGAAGCAGCAGTTGGCCACACCAAATGGTCAGAGATGGGACAGCTTTCCTCAGAGGGCCAGGCCCCTGCCACTCAGCCACCACGCCCTCTCTGAGCAGCACCCCAAAGGACTGTCCTGCCACAGGGGGCTCTGGCAGATGTTGTCCAGCCTGCTCCTAATGGTTTCCTGCAGCTCTTCGTCACCCAGCAGGACGGCTGCTGCCAAGGCCAACAGGAAGTACTCAATGGCATCATGGGTATCCTAAGCCCATAGTATGGGGGCAAAAAAGAAACAGCATTAGCGAACACTTCCAGGACAGACTGGGAGGCAGTGCTGGGAACACTAGCTACTCTTCTGCTCACATCCCATTTCCATGTCCTGGTTCCTCAGGACAGCTCCTCCCCAACGCCACTGTGGTCCCGTGGGCACTGCTCATCACAGTCCCCCTCCTCTGCAGGCAGAGGTGGCATCTGACCCAGGCTCGGCCAGTCATGACACATCATTGCCCTGGACGCAGTGCTTCAAGGGTCTGTCCGTGGCCCAACCTGACCTACACCACTCCCCAGGAGTCTTCTGTTTGAACCAACAGGGAAAATGGTCATTCATCCTTTTGGACTCGGGCTTGAGCCTCCTAGTAGCTGGAGGGAAAGGAAGCCAAGAAACACAGAGAAAGGAAACATACAGAGCCAAGGCCTTCAGAGGGAGATAAGGCAATCCATGACGATGCTGGAGTACCAGGACCCAGAACTGCTGAAACTAAATCTATGCCTCAGTTCTCCAGATATTTAATCTAATGACTCACACATGCTGCTTAAGGTTGTTTGAGTTGAGCTCTCCCTTTGCAATCCCTTGATTGGTTCAATCAGATGGTATACACTCTACCCCTGAACCTTCCTACATGACAGAGATGAGAAAGTGATGCTTCTTTGGGTGAGACTCACAAAGAGATGCCGGGTTCTCAATAATCCTCATCAGTCAATGATAAATTCAGGCCAGAAATGAAGTCTGGTCCATAGAAAGGAACAGCAGGGTGGCCCTGAGACTCCCATGAGTCACATACAGGTGAGAATCAGAATTGAGAGATAAAGGATTGCACTGGGGAGGACAGGGACCTCTGGTAAGGGAAAGCTGAACTTGGGGACATAGTTCTAGGGTCAGAGTTGTAACACAGAATTGCAGACTTCCAACATGATTCAAGAAGTAGCTGGAAACATAAGTTCATTCAACTCCAGCCTAGCAAGCAGGATAATAGGGTTAAAGCCTTCTTAGGGCCTAGATACTCTTATAATTCATGGGTCTCATCCTTCATTTTTCTCAAATATATGCACCCACATTTCTCATGAAATAATTTTGTAAACCTTCATAAAAATGAGTGGCAGTTGAGCTATGAGATTTTGTGGACATACAGTTAAGTAGTAATTTTGATTTTGATTTTGAAGCTTTTAGTTTGGGCGGGGGGGGGGGGAGGGGGTTGGATGTTTTTGTTTTCCTTTCAGGTGGCAGGGCTCACCAATCTTTGTAGGCCCTCCAGGGATTCACAGGCACTAGGCAATGTGCCTAGAATTTCTGATAGATGAAGAAGTCCTAGGAGTTACAGCAGAGCAAGGAGAAAGAGGAGCAATCCTTCTCCTCAGCAAGGTAGAAGCTCCTTTGAGGTCTCCGTGGGGTTTAGTGGAAAGAGCCACTGTGTCCCCTGTGAAGCCATTCCCTATGGTGAGCCAGGACTCCTCATCTTGGTCCCTGTGGTTCTCTCAACTCCACCCCCAAGTGTTCCTCGCTATCTTTGGGTCAGGGAAGGGTGTGGCTGGATGGCCATTCACATGACCTTGGAAGTCTGGCTCTTACCTTCAGCTGGTAGAAGGTGAGTTGGCCCAGGCGACAATATACCTTAGCATAGTATAGCGCCTCCTTGGGACTCTGCAGCCATGGTGGGCAAAGGGACAGAGTCTTTAGGTAGCAGTCCTCGGCCATCTCATACATGTGTAGTGCGTAGTACACGGTAGCTAGGCGGTGAAAGGCCACCAGCTCCTGCTTCTGATCTCCTAGGAATTGGAAGACTGAGACAGATACCCCGTGGCCAGCACTTCACATCATTTGATCGCGCATTCATTCCGTAAGACTTTCTGAAGCTCTACTAGAGGCCTGGGGCAGAGGAAATAACACAGAGGAGGCTCCTGCCTGCATGAGGCTTATGATCTGGTAAGACACAGGTATTCCTTAAAGAATTCCGCAAACAAATATAAAAATCGCACCTGCAGAGTGCTGTAAAAGAAAACGTGGGGGTCTCTGAGGGTAACCAAGTAGAGCGAGTGTGCTGGTCAGGGTTTGGTGGGATGATTCCCTAAAGAAAACGTTCTCCTTATTGCAAATGACACTGTCGCTCAGGATTGTGTGGCAGAATTATTTCTAAACCTCTGTAATGGATTTCACTGAGCAGCTAGGAATTCCTTATGATGAATAGCTTTATAACAAATGTCTTCTTCCCATGAAGCCTCTTCAGAGGGCTCACTTGGGCTACCATCAATAGCAGCCACTCCCTGGCTCCTTGACCAACTCTCAGTCTCACATACACCACAGAGACCCATTCACTTAAAAACCCTGGTTTCTAATGGGCCTGTGACTTCTTGTTTGGGGTTTTGGTGAGTTGATTGTCTTAATAACTAACCTCTGTAATACAAAATAGCCCTTTATAGGGAACAAAGGCTTATCATTGTATCTTTGGAATATGTGCCAAGTGGCTGTTGAATGTCCCCTAAAAACATCACTTTGAAGCTTCAAAGGACCAGAAGTCAAAATTAAAAGACAAAGTGCAAAGGAGAGAAAATTCTTTGACATGGAAAAATCCAGTCACACATGTATAAGGCGTGTATACCATCTCTCTTCAGCCCCTGTCTGTGAGGGGTAAAGTGTTCAGACAGAGCTGCCAGGGGGCCTCTAAGTCCTTCCCTGAGATTAGCAGACAGTTATTTGGATGAGGTTTCTGCCATATAAAAATATTAGCAAGAAAACAAGGGCAAGAGCTTTTAAGTGCAATTAGACACAATAAAGTCCACTATCATTCACATCAGATGCCCTTGAAAGTGCTCACAAGTGCCTTCAAAAGCCACCACCACCAAAGACTCCACTTACCCCTACATCTACTCAGGTCTTCTTAATCAGACCTGCTTTTCCTCAAGCACTAACATTCAAGACAAGGTTTCTTTTTTACTCTGCCTTTTCTTTTTCAATGACTTGTTTCAATGATTCTTTCTACTAGCTTTTGGTGCAAATGAAAGCTATTCCAACTATGTTGTGAGTTAGGCTTACATTTCTGTTCCATGGGAAAATATGCTTTTGACATCAACCAATTAAGAATTCAGAGCAAAGTCCTTTGGTAATGAGGGCTTTGTCTATGCATGGGATAAAATACCATTTAATTTATAGCCGGAAATGGTACTGACTGTAATATATGATGTGTGTGGCAGAGGTAACCCTAACCATGAACTCTCATGCCTAGCACTGTGCTACAGCCTTCATGTGGATTACCTCTGGTTATCATAACAACTGCTCAGGTTGGCACTGTTTTTAATCCTGCCTTGCTGATAACAAACTTAAGGCTCATGGAAGCAGATGCTTAATTAAGTTTCCCTGACAGTCAGATCTGGGATTTGAACCCATGAAGTCTGAATCCAGAGCCAATGCCTATGCTTTATTATCCATGCCTGACCAGTGTTCACCCCTCCCAATTTCATGAACCTGGTCATTGGGACCACCTACCTGTGACAATGCTTAGCCTGGCAGCCAGTGTGGCAAATTCCAAAGCCTTCTCATAGCCCTGAAGGCTGATCTGCAATTCTGTCAGCTTGTTGAAAATGCGGAGCTCAGTTCTCAGTGCCTTCATCCTCCTTGCTAAAGGAACAGCCCCAACCTGAGGACAGAGGCACAGGGAGCTTAGTCTGTGGCACATGCATTCTCAAGAGTCCTGTGCTCTCCTGGCAGGGATTGAGGATGGCCAGCTGTGTTTCCATACCAGGCTCCTCTCAACTCACTCTCCTGGTCCTTGCTCTTGGTGCTTTGCCCGGATCTGAGAGGCTGAAGAACTAGAGGTCATTAGGCCTCCCACAACTGGAGCAACTGTAAGTAGGAAAGGGAAGTGACTTTCCCAAGATCACCTGGGAAGTAATACACCTCTCAGCTGGGTGTTGCGTTGGTACACAGTGCTCATCTGTGAAGGACACATAAAAGTGTGTGCATAGTGTCAGTGCTCAGTAAATGCTCATTTAGGTTATTTTATGATGATGCAATTGTAGATGGGCCTCTTCATCTCTCTGAGCCTCAGTTTTCTCATCTACAAAATGCTGATGAAATAAGTGAGCAGATTGATAGTCAGAAGTATGTTTCCTGTTCTGCCCACATCTAGTCCAGTGTTGGCACATCCTCCGTACCTGATAATGTCTGATGAGCAAATAACTGAACAAATGAATGAATATCTGAATAAATAAAATTTTAGGATCAAATAAGATAAGGAGGCTACCAAACATCAGCCAGTGATGAACAACAAGGATGCATCTGCTTAACATCTGGGCATTTATTTAGTTAGTATTATTTTTCTTTACATCAGCTCTGATTTTCCCGCCTCAGTCTTTGCCATAATATCTGTGAAAACGTGAACTTGATTAACAGGTGTTATACATTTTAGATTTTAAAAGAACATTTTAAGACATGACTAATAATAACCCAGTAAAATGTTTTTAGGGCCAACCCATGCACCTCTTTACATAATCTCCCACTATGCCACCAAGAGCAAGTTGCAAACACTAGTAAACACAGAGGTATTGTTACAAACTATAAAGTACCATGCACCCATGAGATCTGATGGCGAAGGGGTATTATTCCAGGAAGGATAATTTTTTAAGGCTGAGAAGGACACTGAAATTAACAGATCCCTCTGCTGATTTAAGGAAAGGCGAGTATGTGAGCACTGGGCGAGGAAGGGAAGGAAAAGAAATACCAGTAAGAAAGGGTCCTAGGGACCCGGCAGAGGTCCAGTGGTGCCCCTGCGCACATTCGTGGGGGGCCTGGCCGCGCCCTACACAGCCCCCGACTCACCCGATAATACTCCACCGCGCAGTGCCGGTGACGCGTCCCATTGAAGAACACATCGCCAGCTTCCTCGTAGAGTTTGAGGGCCAGGGAGGGCTCCTCTGACTTCAAAGCTGTTTGGATGGCTGCCTGGGTGGGACAGAGAGAAGGCTTCCAGACTCCTTCGGGACTGGCAGGAAGCAGATCCAGACCCCACCTGCTTTGAACCTCTGCTGAAGTTCACCCCAAGTAGGAAATTGGACTGTACACACAGAGGCAGAGAAGAAGGCTCTGGGGGGTCTTGCTCTGATATTTCCCCCAACATACATAACAGATTTCCTTTAGTGGTACAAGAAGTGATTTTAATAATTATTCATTTAAATGTATTTTAGAGGGGAAAAAAAGATTAATAACAGATCAAAGTAGTGGTTTCTGATAGCATTCCTTAGGAGAAAGTTAAGTATAAAAAATGAGTCGATGAAAAGTGAGTAAATCACAGTACAGAAGACACATGGACAGAGCAAAGCCCTGAGTTGAATGAATAAATGACTGACACCGGAAATCAGGGATCTAATCCAAAAGCTGCACTTTCCAGTCAGAGATAGTGAAACATGGAAAGAATACAGATGCTCTCCAGTTCACCCCAACAGTTAGTGGCAAACAAATGCCTTATCTTCCAGCCCAGTACCCCTCTCCAATCCCCAGGATTTCTTGGCATGAATACCACCCTCTCTGGTTCTAGCCAGTCAATTTAGAGAGAACAGCCGCCTCCTAAAGGGCCCACGCCAGCAGATCCCTACCAACCTGCAGGTACAGCTCCACCAGCTCGTCCTCCTGCATGAGGTAGTGGAGTCGCCCAGCCCCCAGCCAGGCCTCAGCAGCCTTGTCTGTCTCCCCGAGGTCAATGAATATACGCAGGCTCTCCTTGATGCAGGTGAGGGACCTCCTGAGGGACCTGGGAGGCAGAGAGAGACCTGTGAGGTATGAGGTACCAAAGCAGCTCATGATTACTCAGCACACAGGAAAAATGCTGCTCTATGAGGGAACAACCATAACCCAGACCATCTAGAGAATCAGAGACTGATTTAAATCTCAGTTCCCCTGGCTGTGTGACCTTGAGAAAGTATAGGACCTCTCTATGTCGTGTTTTTCCTATCCATAGAATGGGAATGTAATGCTACCTGCCTGAAAAGGTTATTGTGAGCATTGAATGAGATAATAAAACTAGAATGCCTAGAATACTACCTATCACATAGTAAGCACTTGATGAGTGTTCAAATATCAGTTTAATCATCATCATTATTACTAACCCATGCTCCCTCTATCTTTAGGCTGTACTATATCAATTTTTTTACCTGACACTCAGTAGACACAAAATGTGTATTTATGAAATGAATACACAAGTGAGAGACCGTAGCAGTAACTTCAAATCATCAAAAAGTTTTCGACATTTTGGTTAAGAAGGGAGATCAAGTAGGGTGAAATTTTCAAAAAGTTGGTGCCTTATGATGACTCTTTAATTATCTGGAAATGCTTTAATTATTTAGTACTCTTTAATTACTTGGGAAATTGTATTACATAGAAAACCCTTCCCCTGTGACAGGGATTAACGAGGGAACGAAGCATGGATAATGTGGCATTAGACAGGTTCAGAATTCCACAACGGGAAGGACAACTGGGGATCAACAAGACAGCAGTCCTCAATCCCACAGCAATTAGAGTCACCCATAGAAATGCCATGCCAGCCCGAGCCCTGAGTCTCTGGGAGTGTGGCCCAGGCACCAGCATTTTGTCAAAGCTACAACAAGACTCTATTGTGCAGCCAGCGGTGAGATCCAGTCCAACTCCTTTATTTTATAGAAGAAACAGACCCAGAGATGGAAGGTGACTTGCACAAGGTTGCACAGCACAGTAGAGGAAGATCCAAAACCAGAGCTCCCTTCTTCCAATGAGAAGACTCATCCCACAGTGCCCACAATTCTCAAAGCATGATTCATAGCCCAGCTGCACTGGCCTTACCTGGGAAGCTTCATGAAACCACAGACGGACAGTGTTGCCTCAGACTGACTGAATCAGAATCATTACAGTTTCAATCCAGAAATCTAAATTCCTAAGACACACCCAGTTTCTGCTCAGGCACACCAAAGTTTGAGAACCACTGCACTAAACCACACATATCCTTCTAGAAACGATGATCAGCATCAACCACATCTGTGGACAACACTGAGGAAGTCCTCATTGAGACGGGAAGTTAACCACCTGCTATAGGTTTGATGTGGCTTGTCCCACGAAAGTGCAAGTGTTGGAGGCTTGGTCTTTAGTGTGGCCTTTAGGAGATGGGCTTAGTCCAAGGTCATTAGGTCACGGGGGGGGGGGGGGCATTGCCCTCGAAAGGGATGACCTAGCTCATGTGTAGGACCCATGAGAGTGAGGGCTTATCAAAGAGCAAGACCAGCCCCTCCTGGCACTCTGGCTTCCTGGCTCGCCATGCTCTCCTGCCATCCTGACGCCATCAGCCGTAAGGCTTTCGCCAGAGCTGGGCCGGTAATGACCATTCCCTTGAACCTCTAAAATTGTGAGCTAAATAAACCTCTCTTTTATTTATCACCCAACCTCAGGTATTTTGTTGTAGAGATGGAAAATGGATTCATACACTCCCTCATCACAGACAACTCAGTTGCCAGGCCCTTCCCCACAATGTCAGAGGCAAGTATGGCCTTGTACAGATGAGACCTCCATTGTTTTCAGCAATGAGGCAGCTGTTGGCCTTCTGAAGAGAGTGCCAAGGATTTGGCCCATATAAGAACTAGAAAGAAAGAACCCAAGATTTCATCGATCCCTTGTCCTTGAAATAAGATGTACTGCCATCCAGGAGGGGCACTGACCTCTCTCAAGTGTTGGAGTGTCAAATTTGTTGCTGAGACTGTTCTGAGAACCGAAAAGCTCCATGCAATGCTGAGGTGGCCGCCCACCCTCCTGGTGGAGCTGTGATAACCACAGGTCTCTTTCACTGTAGGGAGTCCTGTCTATTCTCCCCTGCTTGGTACCCCAGGACCTCAAGCAGGATTAAGAGGTTCAGCAGATCTGGCCTCCAATGCTCTCCCTGGAACAGTTAATGAAGTCAGACCCATAAATCTAAATCTGATCCTATTTCCTGCTGTATTTTTGTTTGTTACCACTTGCTGTCCTGGGATGTCCTTGGGCTGAAGTTGTTTTCTCCAGACCCTTAGGGAGCAAGATTCGGATTCTTACGGAGCAGCCAATTCACAGAGCAGGCATTTGTTTCCTTGACTGTGGAAGAAAAGAGATTTTTCTTTCCAAGAAATGTCCCACTGGAGGATGACAAGAATAATGGGGATACTCACACATCCAGACCACAGGCAGATGGAGGGTTTTCTAAAGACACTGCTTCTCATCAAGATGTACCTCTGATCCCTGATCTCTGACCAAAAGAAAAAGTGCCTGTGTGGCCTGAGCTGGGGAGCTCGTCTCCAGCTTGCTTCACTCTTCCCCCTCTTCTCTCCCCACTCCACTATTTTATATCTGCCAGTGGCTCTACTGTGTCACTCACCCGCTGAGCCTCTGGCTTGACCTGAAATGGCTCAGTATCCCAGTTCCTCCAGCCACCACCTGCAGACTCTAGATCTAGTGAACCTTTCCAATCAAAAGAAGCAAAGAACCCAACTCATCATGTGCCCTCTTGGAAATTCTACGTGCATGCCCAGCCACGGTATTTATCCCCCCTCCTTTCCGGTTCTGATTTTTCTCTTTTTCTCATTTTTCCTTTCCCCAAGTCTCTGGGAACTCAATCCTTATTTCTTTTGCCCTTCCTGAGCATTATCCATGAGCCTGTGGCCAAGTGACCTCAACACACCTGCACATAATTCCAGGGACCTCCTACCAATCCCTCAGGGTTTCCCAAATCCCTGCCCAGCCTGATGAGTTTGTCTGACCTCTGACCAAAAGCCAGCCTCCACTAATTGCTTCTGTCCTGTGCTGATAATAGGGACTAACAATTTCTGAGGGCTGAATCTTTGCCAGGTGTTGGGACATGCGCTTTCAATAGACATTTTCTCATTCACTCCCCCTAGAAATTCGAAGCCAACAAGATTTTTTTGGCTCATTTTTGCAAATAGAGAAATCTCAATGGGATTTTTTTTTTAGCTTACACAAATTTTCATGCTCATTTCTGAAGCTTTATTTTGAGCTCTCTGCTCCTTTCTTATCATCATAATAATGGCAGTATTATTAACTGGAATTTATTGAGCATGTAGCATTCACTAGGTGCTTTGCATGTAAAATCTCATTTAATCATGCAACAATCCTAAGAGGTCAGTACTATTAGTACATTCATTTTACCAAGGGAAAAGTAAGGCTCAGAAAGACTAAGTAAATAGGACTTGGTAATAAACCCTATTTAAACAAACATCTAACCCGAATAGTCTGACTCCACACTCAAGCAGTTCTTAGTTTCTAGATATCAGCTGTAGGGAGACATTTTTTTTTTCTTTTGTCACTTCAAAAACCCTGAAGTTGCTAAGAACATAGTGTTTTGAAACCCTAAACAAAGTTTCCTTATCTGCAAAAGTGGGACAGTAGCATGCATAACAGCCCTGAGATCAAACGAGGACACAGCAATTCAATCATTTCCTTCCTTAGGATAACAGAAATGCTAGGGATTAGTCATATCAGTTATATTGAAAAAACAAATGTTGAAGCAGATCTTTTTTTCAGTTTCAAAGAAATAAGAAGCATGAGGATAAAAATAAAAGCCAGGAGCAATAGATTCTAGGCTGCTATTGTATTCATGTGAAAAAGATCAATCATTATTCCTTAAAGTCTCAGTACATGCAAGGCATTCCCTCTTTCTCAAAATAATATTATATACCTCCTTTCTGGCACTTACCACAGTTTATATAATGACTTTGGTGACTTTTTATGCAAGCAGTGACTTTAGGGAATACAACTCCTTGGTCCAGCTTCATAGTAAATGTTCAATAAATATTCACTGAATTGAATCAGTAGAGTCATAAAGCTTTCATGGACCCCACCTGGCTCAGATCTAGAGCAAAGTACCAGTCTGAATTGTTATCCAAAGATGGGACCCAGAAAGATCCATCCCAGTGAGAGACTGAAAATTTCATTAACTATATTCTGTAATTGTCACCCAGGCAGCAAGAATGACATAATAATGTACTGGAACAAAAGACAGCAGAGTATACCAAGGCAAAAACCTGAAGACTGAGCCAACATTTGAAGCATCCACTTGCCCTCCCTACCACCTTCCATCTCTAAACACTAGGGAAAATCTTTGAAAGAGAAGGAATTAAAATCATCACAAAGGCAGCATGGACGAGTAAATACCACCTTAAATTGAAAATTCAGAGGTCTGAGCTAATGCCAGTGAAACCAAGAGGTGAAATCTGTGTGGACCCTCTGCAGCAGGCAAGCGCAGACCTGATGGGAAGTGGCCAGGTTCATGCATGCATTTCCACCAGCCTTCACCATACACCCTGCTGAGCATATCATCTTTCTAAGATGAGGATTATTGGCCAAGCAAGCAGAATACACAAAAAGTACTAGCACTCTTGGCGGGTGTGGTGGTACACGCTTGTCGATCCCAGCAGCACAGGAGGCTGAGGCAGGAAGATCGAGAGTTCAAAGCCAGCCTCAGCCATTTAGCAAGGCACTGAGCAACTCAGCAAGACCCCGTCTCTAAATAAAATATTTTAAAAGGGCTGGGAATGTGATTTAGTGGTTAAGCATCACTGGGTTCAATCCCCTGTACCAAAAAAAAACAAAAAAAAGAATAAGTTCTGTAGACCAGGAGGTCGTCAACTATGGCCCATGAACCAAATACAGCCTTCTACTAGCTTTTATAAGTAAAATTTTATTGAAGCACAGCCTCACTGATTCATTTATGAATTATCTATGGATGTTTTTGCACACAACTGC